GTAAGGGGCATTAAGGAATCTACTCCTGAAATCATTGTTGCATTATATGCTAATTTGGATGTAAATTTTTAAAAATAAAAAAATAAAATTATTTTAAAAAGAAATGGCTTGGGATAATTCAGCTAATTCAGAGGCCACTGGACCCTTCCCAGGGCCTTATTAGATTTACTGGCAGCCAAATTTGAGGCTGTCTTTTTAGGATAAACATTGTGAGATAGAAAGTTTAGTAACATGATGGCTGATACAGGCTGTGTACCAAGCCAGAGGAGATACTTCAAAAACATAATGTGGGTTGTCAAATGTTATATTAACTGACTTAAAGAAAGGAGGATCTATGATGTGAGGCCAACACGGTGATGAAAAAGTAGTAGCAGTCTGGATAAAGAAAAAGATTAAGCAAATCATTACCTTACCGAAACCTGAGAAACCACAGCTAAATATATGCTACAAACATTTTTTCTATGGTAGATGGCGCTCTGACACAGTGCATGACTTTGGTGGCATGTCGATGGAGCTTCTTAAGTTGTCCCAGGTGACGTCATATACCTTGGTCGTTTGCGGGCATTGTCTCCCCTGTTGTCCTTGTAAGGACAAATTGGCCATCTGAGGAAGAGAGTTGAAGAATCAACTCCTGGTATGGTTTAATCAGACAGGCAGAAACCCAGTGGGATCCTGATGGGAGAAGAAGACATCCATATGCCCGTCCCCATGTTATCAGTTCATATGGTCCCTTCCATGAATATGTCTTTAAGTAGCACCTTGGCTCTGATATTTGAGCTGGGAGATGGTGCAAAATACTGGTGGGAAGCTGTGAGGCCATGGGAATCACAATTTCCAAAAATTTAGAATGTAGAAGTTTTTATGTAGTGAATTCCATGGGGAAGCATTTTGTGTTTTCCCTCTTTTGTTTGTGAAGCATTTGTTTTAAAGTGGCATGTGTACATTCCATAATAGCTTGTCTGGTAGAGTGATATGGTATGCGCATAATGTGTTGTATATTCCAACTTTGGAAGAATGCCTTTACCATGGAGGAAAGTTATCCAGGTTGTTGTCAGTTCTAATTTGTTGAGGTTTACTGGCTTGTGAAAGTGCATGTAAAAAAATGAAGAATGATATTTTTTGCACTTTCTCCAGTGTGAATAGAGGCCATTATAAATCCTGAAAAGGTTTCCACAGACATGCAGATATATTTGTGATGCCCGAATGGGGCATAGTATGTCATATCAGCTTGCCAACGCTTATTTTCATTTAGACCTGTGGGGTTTATTCCCCATTGCTGTGTCCTCCTGATTGCTATTGACAGTCAGGGCCAGCAGCAACAATGTGTTTCTCTCGAGTAACTGTGAGATGGAATTGTTTAATAAGGGACTTATAATTTTGATGAAAAAAGTCATGAGATAATCGAGCAGTTTTAAAAGCTATATTGTAGTCAACAAATTGGTCTGCAAACTCGTTTCCTTCTGTTAAAGGTCCAGGTAAACCTGAATGTGCTCTTATGTGAGTGATAAAAAGAGGGTATGCTTGTTCACCTAGTAAGGCTTGTAAAGTTAAAAATAATGACAATAAGGAGGGATCCGTTAATTCCCTAACAGAGGCCTGTTCTATATTCTCTATCACATAAACTACATATTGAGAATCTACTACATTGGGATGAGCACTGGGTGTTGTATGGAAACCAATTTGACAATAAATTTCATATATAAATAAAAAAAATAAATAAACAAAAGGACAACTTAAAAAAAAAAGAGAATCTACTACAATATTAATAGGTTGGTTAGGAAATTGTTGTAAACCCATAATAGTGGCCTTTAATACTGCTCTTTGAGTAGATGTTTGAGTATTTTTCACAGAGCTAGAACAAACAGTCCTAAAAGTTTTATGGAACAATGAAAGACCCCAAATAGCCAAAGAAATCCTGAAAAAGAAAACCAAAGCTGGAGGCATCACAATCCCAGACTTCAAGCTATACTACAAAGCTGTAATCATCAACACAGTATGGTACCGGCACAAAAACAGACACATAGATGAATGAAACAGAATAGAAAATCCAGAAATGGACCCGCAACTATACAGTCAACTAATCTTCAACAAAGCAGGAAATATCTAATGGAACAGAGACAGTCTTTTCAACAAATGGGGTTGGGAAAACTGTACAGCAACATGCAGAAGAATGAAACTGGACCACTTTCTTACAATATACACAAAATAAGTTCAAAATGTATAAAAGACCTAAATGTAAGATAATAAACCATCAAAATCCTAGAAGAGGACACAGGCAGCAACCTCATTGACATCAGCCTTAGTAGCTTCTTACTAGACATGTCTCCTGAGGCAAGGGAAACAAAAGCAAAAATGAACTACTGGGACCTCATCAAGATAAAAACGTTTTTGCACAGTGAAAGAAACAATCAAGGAAACTAAAAGGCAATCTACAGAATGGGAGAAGATATTTGCAAATGACATATATGATAAAGGGTTAGTATCCGAAATCTATAAAGAACTTATCAAACTCAATGCTCAAAAAGCAAATAATCCAGGGAAGAAATGGGGAGAAGACATGAATACACACTTTTCCAAAGAAGACATCCAGATGGCTAACAGACACATGAAAAAAATGCTCAACATCACTCATAATCAGGGAAATATAAATCAAAACCACAGTGAGATACCACCTCACACCTGTCAGAATGGCCAAAATTAACAAATCAGGAAATATCAGGCGTTAGCAAGGATGCAAAGAAAGGGAAACCCACTTGCACTGTTGGTGGGAGTGCAAACTGGTGCAGCCACTCTGGAAAACAGTATGGAGGTTCTCAGAAAGTTAAAAATAGAACTACTCTCTGATACAGCAATTGTACTTCTAAGTTTTTACTCAAAGGAAACAAAAATACAGATGTGAAGGAGCACATGCACCCCAATGTTTATAGCAGCACTATCGACAGTAGGCAAATTAAGGAAAAAGTCCAAGTGTCCATAAACTGATGAATGGATAAAGAAGATGTGAGACATAGATATATATTTGTGTGTATATATACATATATATATACACATATATAATGGAATATTATATATATAAGGGAATATTACTCAGCCATAAAAAAGAATGAAATCACCATTTACAGTGATGTGGATGGAGCTAGAGAGTATAATGCTAAGAAAAATATCTCAATCATAGAAAGACAAATACCATATAATTTCATACATGTGTGAAATTTAAGAAAAAAAACAATCACATTGGGAAAAAAGAGAAAGGAAAACCAAGAAACAGATTCTTAGCTATAGAGAACACACTGATGGTTACTAGAGGGGAGGTGGGTGGGGGATGGGCTAGATGGGTGATGGGTATTAAGGAGGGCACTTGTTATAATGAGCATTACATGTAAGTGACAAATCACTAAATTCTACTCCTGAAACCAATATTACACTATATGTTAGCTAACTAGAATTTAAATAAAAATTTGAAAAAAAAAATGCAGGGAATTCTTCAATTTGACCATAAGAAACCAACCCAGTGTAAAAATGGAGAAAAGATCTGAACAGACACCTCACCAATGAATATATATATGTAGATGGAAAAGAAGCTAACTCATTGCTAGTGAACTCCAAAATGGTATAAGTACTTTGGAAGACATGTTGGCAGTTTCTTACAGATCTGAACCAAACTTAGGACACAAACCAGCAAATGTCTTCTTACTTATCTATGGGACTAAATTGGAACTAATACCCACATTAAAGTCTGCACATGAATGTTTATGGCAGCTTCATTCATAATGTCCTTAATATGAGCATGAATAAAGAAAATGTGGGACATCAACACAATGGAGTATTTACTAATCGTGTTGCTCTTTCTATAGAAATTCTCGTTGTTCTCTGGTATTATATCAACTTGGTCTTCTAAGCCTAAAACATAATTTCAACTTTATTAGAAACTCCCAGGTGGTTTTTTCATTCCTATATGCATTCACCCTTTTAACAGCATTCTACTCATATTGGTTGAATTCATACCTTCATTTTATTAACGTATTTTTCCACCTCAGATAATGTATTACATAGATTGTTTATTTCCCTCTTCCATTCTCTGTGCAGATTTCCTGTCCAAGTCTTTGTTTCCTTTTCTTCTTCTCTGTGTAGTTGTTTTGGAGATCTCTTCTACTACTTATAGCAGAGTGTTCATATTTAGGAATGACTCACAAGAATTCTGACTAAAGAATCTTTGTATGTTGTGGCTTATAGAGATATCTTGGAGGAAGTTGGCTTTGTAACTGGGGACCCCACTTTTCAGGCAAAGTTATAACTTTTAAATTAAATATCATGTTTCTCACCTGAATAGATATTCATTTTACTCCTGGCAGGTAATGGCCTGACTGCCAACTCTCTTGACCCTCTAGAGTGGAAATAGAATGGGAATGCCAATGTCCACACGCAGAGGTCTACTAGACCTCCTTTCCAGTGGGGTGTCTCCTCTCCACCTTCAGGGAAACTTCATGACCTGAGTCCAGACACAGCCACCAATCCTTCTGCCCTGCTCCTCATATGGATGAGCTCCTTTTCTTATGTAAATTCTGGAGTATATCTCCTAATGCCCCCTCCTACAGATGGAGCACTGGAGATCCTATCCATTACAATCATTTCCAGGACCCCATATCTGAATGTAGAAGGAGAATGACCCAAACCAGGCAGGCAGTCAAGGGCCTGGACTCTGGACCACTGCCTCATCCTCTGTTTCTGTGAACAGTTAGCCCTGGAGCTTGAAACTTAGTCCACAGTTGCACAGCCTGACAATAGAATATAAGAGAAACTTGGTAAGATTTCCAAATTTTCATCAACTGCAACACTAACCCTCTCAAGCAAACAGGGCCAGAAATCAGCACAGGCAGAACTGGAGCCCAGATCACTAGGACCAGCCTCAGTGGGTCCCCACACCACCCAACACCAGGACACCAGGAACTGGCGACAGTCACCCGGGTTCAGCATTTTTAATGCCTCCCCTGCTCCACGGGACCCACATGCAAATCACCTGAGGTGCTCCCAGAAAAGACCCGCATCACAGGCCAAGGCCAGTGTGTTGGGTCTCCATCCAGAAGACAGAAATGCAGATGCTGTGGTCCCTCCTCTGCCTGCTGGCAGCTCCCCTGGGTGAGGATCTGGGGGCTCTGAGATCGACTAGGGCCTTTCTGTGGGATGAGACAGACTCACCATGACTCTCCTTACCCCCCAGGTGTCCTATCTCAACTTACACTTCGGGAGTCCGGCCCAGGACTGGTGAAGCCTTCACAATCCCTCTCTCTCACCTGCGTTGTCTCCGGAGGCTCCGTTACCAGCAGTTACTACTGGAACTGGATCCGCCAGCGCCCTGGGAGAGGGTTGGAGTGGCTCGGGTACTGGACAGGTAGCACCAGCTACAACCCGGCTTTCCAGGGCCGCATCTCCATCACTGCTGACACAGCCCAGAACCAGTTCTCCCTGCAGCTGAGCTCCATGACCACCGAGGACACGGCCGTGTATTACTGTGCAAGAAGCACAGTGAGGGAAAGTCAGTGTGAGCTCAGTCACAAACCTTGGTGCAGGGACCTGGAGGGGCCGGGCTGCAGGGGCGCTCAGGATCCACAAGAGGGCGCACAGGACCTACCAGGGGAACTAGGGACATCAGGGGGTGCTTCGGGCCCCTTACCACAGGGACCAGCCCAGAAACAGGGGCAGAGCAGGAGTGAGGTCCCCACTGTCAGTATCTGGAGCTTTCTCTTCCTGGCACTCTGGTCCTATGGGGACCTCCCTTTCTTGCTTGCTTGCGTTCTCTTCTGTTTCAGTCCCAGTGTGATGTTTGGACCATGTAGATGATGCCATTTTTCACACTGTGTAGGAAGTGCTCCGAGAGGTCAGCGCATCAGTGCTGTGTCTCCCCTTACTTCTTTCTCGACACGTTCTTGGTCAGACCCCTGGTAGCTCATCAGAAATAGAAACGCCGGCACTAACTGAAACCCACAGATATTATCCATTTTATAATGTTAGAAAATTATACTTGAAATGTTCTGCCATCTCTACAGGGTTACCTTCCCTTATTGGTCCTCAGATTGCCCACAGCCCTTCTTTCCTTGGTGTATGATATGGCTTCTAACTACAAGACATCATCACAGGAGCCCTCACCCCTGGCCAGGGCACATTGTATAGGGTGGCATCTTGCTCCTTCCTCCTGGGGTCCACTTGCCTCTCTGACATTCCGCGAGGGTAATTTCTGAGCTCCAACCTGGCGAGTGAAACACTCAGACCACTTCACGGACGGCAGGGGCTCAGTGTCTGGGTTACCACTATGTCCACAACTGCTTCCAGGGAGTGGGCGTCTCCCACCTGGCTTCTTGGTCTGAATGAATTACAGCATCCCACCTAAGTCCAGCCTCACAAGCTGTGTGGCTGTTCCCATCCTGGGTGCATGAAAGCCACTTTGGAAATGCAGGGGGGATATTCTGATTTCATCCTCAGTTCAAATGCTCTTTAGTTTTAGTCTATTTCTGGATGCTGACAAGAGCTTGGACTCTTACGTCCAAGCTCATTTTTTGTTTCAAATGTTATAGTATTCCGCCAGCCATTCCAGTGTGTATGGTACAGGAAGGAGAATCCTCCCCTTGGCTGGGTTCCTCACAATGGAAAGGAATTAAGAAGTATAATATCTAGAAGAAAAAGCAAAAATGTGGCCACATGTTGTTAATAAGAAACCCACAAGACACTGAATACAAAATGCTGGTACACATATGAAAAGCTTACATAATGTTTATGGTAATTCTGAGAAAACTTAATTTGAAATAATGATCCATTTCTCTTCCTATAATTCAAAGTATTAGAGAGAATATGATTTTATTTTTTATTTTTTATTTTTTTGACGTTTATTTATTTTTGAAACAGAGAGAGACAGAGCATGAACATGGGAGTGTCAAAGAGAGAGGGAAACACAGAATCCGAATTAGGGCTGTCAGCACAGAGCCCCACGCGGGGCTCGAACTCACGGACTGTGAGATCATGACCTGAGCTGAAGTCGGACGCTCAACCATCTGAGCCACCCAGGCACCCCGAGAATATGAGTTTAAATGTTATCAGACATGTGGGGAGAAAGCTACTTTAACGTGGGCAATTGCATGTGCTTTGGTATAGCTATATCCCCAAAAGAGCAATGGACCCTTTTAATGAAAACTCCCATTCCTGTGGTACAATAATTCAATACATGAATCCCATACCCCAGGGGAAACACCATTTATGAAACACTGTGATAGTGATAACAATCTTCAATTCCAAAAATCGTGCATCCATATTTAAAACCCACCCTGCAGTAAAATAATAACAAAATTTTGTAATAAGGTGGACAAAACATTCTCTAAAATATACTGGTTGGTTACTAAAAGGAAAGTTTCAGCACAGTAGATAAAACTAAAAGCATTTGTTAAACTGATAAAGAGATGCAGAGATGACAGAGACAGAGAGACGGAGACACAGGGCCGCATCTCCATCACTGCTGACACATCCAGGAACCAGCTCTCCCTGCAGCTGAGCTCAGTGACCACTAAGGATATGGCCATATATTATTGTGCAAGAGACACAGCTAGTGGACATTGTGAGCCCAGACACAACCCCCCCCCCCCGCAGGGAAACAGGAGGTGCTGGGCTGCAGGGCACCCCAGGTCATGAGGGGGTTCTCAGGTCACCAGGGGGCGCTGGGTACACCAGCGCATGGTCAGGTCACCAAAGGGCACTTGGGTCACCAGGGAGAGCTAAGGACACAAGGGGGCGCTCAGGATCCACCATGGGACGCTCAGGTCACCAGCAGTTGCTCAGGTCAGTCACATGGCGGGGGGTCACTCAAGACACCAGAGGGTGCTCAGGACTACACAGCATAGGGACCAGCTCCTGAGCCCATGCATGGGAGTATATGTCCTCCATTAGTCTGGTGTGTGATTTTATTCCCTATGAGTGTATGCCTCCCCCAAGGACTCACTGTCTTTCTTCATGTGTTGCATTTTTTTAACACCACCCCACAGGTAAAGTCACTTACCACCTCTGCTCAATTAATTTAAATAGTCAGGAGTCCTTAATACTTCCTTGGTTCTCTACTCCAGGAAATCTTTCCATTTTAAGGAGGCAATTGAGAAATCCCTTGGGCAGTGGCCAAGGGCATGATGTTGCAGCCCAGGTGACCAGTGAGTGACCTCTGGCTATGGTCCACTCACAACCTGCCTGTGTTGAATAAAACACACAATACTTTTACGTAACACAAAAAGAATCTTATTAGCACTGTTCTGTATTTTGAACTTCCAGGAGTTAAAAAAGTACAATACAATACGTGAAATGAAAAATACGGGTAATAAGATTAACACTGCATATTAAAACATGAGTGAACTTGAAGAAGAGTAATAAAAACCATCCAAAATTTAGCACAGAATAATGTATGTCTCCAAAAACAAAATCCAAGTGCCTGTAATGTAACAGACAATAGGAGCAGTCTAACATATACATACATATGTGTGTATACATGTATCTCCACATGCATACCCACATATGTGTATGTAAATATAATGTATAACTGGAATCAAGGAAAATATTTTCAGAATTTGATGTAAATTATCAACAGATCTAAGGATACCAAAGTGCCCCAAGAAGAATAAAACTAAAGAAAATTCAATCAAGACACATCAAAATAAAATTCCTGAAAACCGAGGAAAATCCTAAAAGCAGCAAAGAAAAAAAACATGAAGACAGGAACAAGGTTAATAACAACATCAAAACTTTCCATGAAAAACAACCAAAGCAGAAGGCAAGGGGTGAGAACTTTAAAGTGCTGAAGGAAAATTTTAAAGCCATTAACTTAGAATTCTAAACTAAGTGAAACTATATTCCAAATTTTAAGGCAAAATTGGCTGAAAACAAAATTACAAAATATCAAAATCTGTGCTTAGAAGGAAACACATAGCATTGAATGCTTACACCAGAAAATAATAAAGATCTTAAGTTAATAACCTAAGCTTCTACTTTAGAAATTAGAAAAGGAAAATCAAAATAAACTAAAATCAATCAGAAGAAAGGGAAAATAAAGATGAATGGAGATCATTGAAATTGAAAACAGAAAAACAATAAAGAAAATGAACAACGGCAAAAGCAGATCGTTTGAAAAGATCAATCCAATTGCTGGCAAGACTGACAAAGGAAAAAGAGACAAATCATCAATAACAAAATCTAATGAGGAGATATAAAAACATTCCACACTGTGTTTCATGAGACCACATTCTCTGTACAGTCAGTACAAAGAAAGAAAACTTCAGACCAGTATCCCTTATTAACATAGATGCTAAAATCCTTAACAAGATGCAGTAAAACCTTGGTTTGTGAGCATAATTCATTCTGGAAACATGCTTGTAATCCAAAGCACTTGTATATCAAAGTGAATTTCCCATAAGAAATAACAGAAACTCAGACGATTCATATCACAAACCAAAAATATACATAAAAAATGATTACAATGCCACAATATAATACAAAATAATAATGAAAATACAAAATATAAAAAAAAAAGAAACAAAGTAACCTTCACTTACTTTGAAAACCTTTGTGGCTGGTGTGAGGGAGACAAGAGAGAGGACGGTTACTGTGTAGGCCAACTTTCACTCAACCAGAATCACTGCTGTCTGTTGGCTCCGTGGAATCTTCTTTCTTTTTGTGCAACTTTAACAAGTAACCTATCCAATGACACTTGCTTCGTCTCCCTTTGAGAATTTTGCAGAAATGTGGCATTGCGTTGTCAATAAACAGATTCATTGCTCGCACTGCTACAGCCTTGTTCGTGTGGTGCTTTTCTATAGACTGTTTCACTGTTTCCCACATTTTACACATCTACCTAATCTCATTTGAAGTGAGGGATTCCTTGGCCTTTTTCTCCTCCTCTGCAGACGAGATCTCCCCCATAACCTCTGCTCGCGATGCAGACCCATCAGTTCGTTGGTGTCGGCTCCTGGCCATGCGCCTCTGCCAGCTCCTGAATGTCATCCTCATTCACCTCCAGTCCCCTGGTCTTCCCCAAGGACACAGCTTCATCGACAACTGGCGGCTGCTGTTCATGAGCAAGCCCCTCTACGTCAGGTCCAAGAACGCAACCAGGCTACAGTTTTCTGCAAGCAGAATTGAGGGTTCTCTTGGTGACCCCATCCCAGGCTTTATCGATGATCTTCAGGCAGTTCACAATGTGGAAATGATTTTTCCCAAGCTCTCATAGGGCAAGATTTGTTCCTTCGGTCACTTCGAAGCACCGCTGAAATCGTGCTTTGGTGTAAAGCCTTTCAAAGTTCTGAATGACCTGCTGATCCACGAGCTGGAGGACTGGAGTGGTGTTGGGAGGAAGGAACTTGCCCTTAATGAACTCAAATCCCTCCAGTAAGTCGTCCTCAAAGCCTGGAGGCCAAGCACGAGCATCACCCATAACCCAAGGCAGATTCTTCTCTAAAAGGTATTTCTTCACTGCAGAACTGAAGACCTCGTTGATCTACTCAACAAGATACGAGTGACCCCTGGGGCGCCTGGGTGGCGCAGTCGGTTAAGCGTCCGACTTCAGCCAGGTCACGATCTCGCGGTCCGCGAGTTCGAGCCCCGCGTCGGGCTCTGGGCTGATGGCTCAGAGCCTGGAGCCTGTTTCCGATTCTGTGTCTCCCTCTCTCTCTGCCCCTCCCCCGTTCATGCTCTGTCTCTCTCTGTCCCAAAAATAAATAAACGTTGGAAAAAAAAAAAGATACGAGTGACCCAAGCTTTGCCCTTGAACCTCCACAGAACATTTAACTGGCTCTCCTTGCATTTCTTGAAGGCTTGTGGATTCTCAGAATGATACATGAGCAGGGACTTGACTTTGAAACCCCCACTTGCATTAGCACAAAACAAGAAGGCGAGATGGTCTTCCATGGGCTTGTGACGGGCACTGCATTCTCTTCTGTAATGCACGTCCTCTTTGGCATCTGTTTCCAAAAAAGCCCCATCTCATCGCAGTTAAAAACTTGCTCTGGCAGGTAACACTCGGAAGCCATGAGCTTCTGGAACTCAGTAGCGAACATCTCAGCTGCCTTAGCATCTGAACTCACAGCCTCTCCATGCCTCACAACACTACAGATGCCACTTTTCCTCTTAAAGTTATTGAACCATCCCCTGCTTGCCTTGAGGCCTTTTTCATTTTCCTTTGGTGTACCTGGCAGTTTACTTGCAAGGTCGGTGTACAAGGCCTTTGCCTTCTTGCAGGTAAAGTTCTCAGTCACAGTATCACTTGCTAGTTGTTTCTTGTGTATCCAAACCAGAAGCATATTTTCAACATCTTCCAGAACACATGGCGATTGCTTTGATATTCTCATGACTCCTTCGGCTGCATCTAGCCTCCTTATTTCTTCTTTCTTCTTTAATATTGTACAAATAGTCGATGTAGACGTCTTATAAAATCTTGAAATTTTGGCCACTAATATACCTCGTTTGTACTTCTCGATGATTTCCTTCTTAACTTGCACCATAATCATTTCCTTTTTCTTACTGCCTTTCTTTTCAACCTTTTCCTGCATGGAGGCCATTGTATTTGCTCACACGCATGTTGACTACAGTAAAGAATTAATGAACTCTTTTCATTTACTGAATTTAATGTAACCAGCAATAAGGCAGCAGAGGAGAGGGTCTCTATCTGCAGGCAGATTAACCTAGAATGATGCAAAGCTTTCCTAAGTTTACTCTTGTCTGGAAGCAGAGGACTTCCTATAGGTGCTTTGAAGTGACAAAAATACACGAGTGCCAGTTGTGGACACCTTCCAACATTCTTAAAAATCACTGATTTCTGCCAAACACTTTGGCCTGAGACCAAGCATCCAAGCATGGGAGACAATCCCCCACAGTCCTACAGAGAGAGAGAGAGAGAGAGAGAGGAACCATGGACTCAGTTGTGATTATGTGATGTTTGACATCACATACTGCTCGTATTGCAAAACATCACTTGTTTATCAAGTTAAAATTTATTAGCAATGTTTTCTCTTCTTGTGTAACACTCAAAGAACAAGTTACTCACAATCCAAGGTGTTACTGTATCAGCAAATCCTATCAGCAACATATGAAAATAATACCATGCCATGACAAAGCAGGAACTATCCCAACAAGTCAAGCCTGCTTCAGTTTTGTTTTGTTTTTTTGTTGTTTTTTTTTTTTGAGGTAGGGAAGAGGGAGGGACAGAAAGAGAGGAAGAGAGAGAATCTCAATCAGGTTTCATGCTGTCAGCATACCACAACCATGAAATCATGACCTGAGCCAAAATCAAGAGTTAGACACTTAACTGGCTGAGCCACCCAGGCACCCTGCTTCCGCATTTTTAAATGAATCAATTTCATCCAACATGTCAGATGCATAAAGGAGAGTATTCACATGACTATGTAAATTGAGAGAGGAAGTTACTTGACAAATTACAGCATCCAGTGACGATAAAAACTCTTGGAGAGTTTGGGATAAAAGGACCCTTCCTCAGTCTGATAAGGAGAAACATACAGCTAACATCATACTTCATGGTGAAAAGCTGAGTGATTCCCCCTCAGATCTGGAAAAAGTCAAGGATATCCAGTCTTCCCACATCTATTCAACATTTTAGTTGAAACTCTAACAATGGCAATAAGACTAAAAAATACAGAAGGATGTGCAAATGTGAAAGGAAAAGAGATGTCCGTGTTTGTAGACAGTATTTGTACCTCTGAGAAAAAAAAAATCAAAGGGATCTACCCCCAAATCATCCATAATTTAATAAGTGACTTTAGAAAGATCACAGGTCAATAAACAAAACATTAATCTATTTCTATATAGTACCAATGTCTAAATAAAATCCAAAATTAAAGTAAGGGATGCCTTGGTGGCTCAGTCCATTAAGCATCCAACTTTTGGTTTCAACTCAGGTCATGATCTCATGGTTTGTGAGTTCGAGCCTTGCATAGGGCTCTGTGCTGATGGTGCAGAGCCTGCTTGGGATTCTCTCTCTCTCTCTCTCTCTCTCTCTCTCTCTGTCCCTCCCCTGCTCACTCTCCCTCTCTCAAAATAAATAAATAAACGTTCTAAAAATATATAAAGTAAAAATACAATTTGCAATATCCCCCCCAAAAGGATTAAATATTTAGATATAAATCTAACAAAACCTGTAAATGGACCTATGCTCTAGGTAAAATAAACCAAAGAAGACATAAATAAATAAATGGAGACATATTGCAAGGTGTATCATAGGAAAGATTTCAGTTCCCCACAAACTGATTTGCAGAATTAACAGAATGTCAATCAGACTATTAGCAAACTTGTTTGTAGATCTGGGCAAACTGAGTTTTAAATTTATATGGACAAAGGAACTGAAGCATCCAAAACAGTGCTGAAGACCAAGTTGGGGGGATCATACACAGTCTTAAGTCTCAATACAATTACAGCAATAAAGACTGTGTGATCCTAGCAAAGGAATAGATAATGGGACAGAACTGAGTTCTGTGTGGAAAACCATCCACACAAACATGGCCAATAGGTTTTTGACAGAGATGCAACCAGCCTCAAGAAGTTGACAGCACTGTTTATCACAAATTCACCTGGAAATTAGGGTGGACGTCTGTGCTCACTAATTGCCTTTATCCAAAGGAAAAGTAAGTTTCCCATATTTTATGACAGGAAGTGGGCTTGCAACTTGGAGCCAGGTGCCCGTGAAGTTAGGCTCCCTCTGTCTCACAGAAACTGGGTGATGGGGCGCTGCCTTCCCAGATGATGACATTTGAAAGCCATGGCTCCCAGGTCCTTGAGGGAACATGCCTGGGTGATCCCGCTGGCAACAGGTCAATTTAGCTTATAAAGTCTTACATACATTTCAGAGAAGCGGAGAAAGAATTCATAATCCCAAAGTCTCTAAGGAAAGGGGGGGAGGAGATCTCTTTATCTTTCTTGCACTAGGAAAAATGACTTTTTTTGGAAGAGAGAGATAGATGAGCACTTGCACGAGCAGTGGTGGGGCAGAGAGGGAGGGAAGGAGAGAGAGAATTCCAAGCAGGCTCCGAGCTGTCAGCACAGAGCCAGATGGGAGGCTCGATCCCGCGAACCATGAGATCATGACCTGAGCCAAAATCAAGAGTCGGACCCTTGACTGTTTTTGTTTCAATTTAGATTTGTATTTGTCCTGATACCTCTTGTTCCCTGGCCAGCTGGCTGCAGGTGCAAGGTGGTGGCAGAACAATCAGAGGGGGTCAGGAGTTCTTGCCACCGCCTCACCGACTCTCTGGGGGTAGCTTCCAGATTCCCATTTGCCCCAGTGATCCTGGCACCCACAGACACTCCTCCCGGGGCCTCTCTGTCCCGAAGTCGTGTTCTTAATCCTGCCACACCTGTGGGAGTCATCTCCAGGAGTGGCCCATCACTGGCAGCCTCCAGGAGCATTTGTTTACCTGCTGAGACCCAGCTGCCCGTGTGCTCTGACTGGGACGTCCAAACAGTGTGACTAGAAACAGTGTCTTACCAAACACCTTGAAACAAGCGCTCAATATTTCACCATTAGGAATGTTGCTGTATGTCAAATAAATCCCAGTTTTTAAAAGAAGAGTGGCCCCAGAGTCAGGTCCCCATATATGCCCTTTCTTAAAGGAATTAGCTTCTAGTCACATTTGCTATGGATTTTAGTCATAAATGTATCTTGAGTTTTATCAAACGATTCTTCTGCACCTATTGACTTTTTTTTTTTTCTCCCTTGCATGTTAACATGGTGAACAACATTGATTTTCAAATGTTAAACTATCCCTTTGTCCATAAAAAATCCTATCTGGTCATGTTGTATTTTGCTTTTAGTATGTTGACTGATTTGCTATTTCACACATTGTTTTGTTTTTGCTTTATTGTTTATGAGACACGATTAGTCTGTAATTATTCCCTCTGTGATACTCTCCTAGATTTCAGCGTCAAGGTTGCAGTGTTGTCCTGGAGCAAACTGGGCAGTGTTCCTTGCACGGCTGTGTGAGATCGGCATTCTTTCTTTTTTAAGTAACTGGGGGGATGTGCCAGTAAAACTGAGATGAAGTGTGTTTTCCCTTTTTTGATGATAAATATCATACTTGTGGATTAAATTTCTTTAGAAGACACTGCACCGTTCATATTTTCTGTTGCTTCCTGTGCCAGTTTTCCAAAGTTTCATGAATGTTTTTGTCTGTTTTATTTAATTGTTCCAGTTTAGTTCCTTAAGTTTACTTAGACTATGTCTTT